GGAAGTCAGCACCCAAATGTATAATCCGGACACACCCTCGGTCTGTGACCTCAGAAATCTGGAAGCCTGTTATCAATTCGTAGGGAGCAGCCAAAGCAATCACAACTCTACAGTTTATTGGAAGACGACTTGGTACTACTACCCTAGAAATCCCGATAACTCTTTGAAAATACGAATGGCCACGCCCTGATGTTCACAAAGTAACCAAACTCTCAATTCGTACCCAAAGAAGAAGTGAGTGAAATGTAAATCAAATGTTTTATATTAGCTCATGATGAATTATATTGGATATTGAGTTATCAGATTAACAACTGCTGAGACCTCATTTTAATATCGGCGTTACTATTGTTTTCTTGGGGTTCCGTTATCTTCATTTTGGCATGCCTATCCACAGACATATCAAAAATATCGATTACATTTATATGGATGCTGAAAACAAACGTTCGTGAAGCTACATCGAACGATCCGTGGGGTTCCTAGCAGCACCTTAATGGCTGAAATAGCCGACAAGACTCACAATGTTATGGCATTCACAGAAATAATGCAAATGACTTGGAAAAGACTCAATGATAAAAGTAAAAATTGGCGTCATGTCTATAAGTCTCTTGTTCTCTTGGAATACTTGACCAAGACTGGTAGTGATAAAGTCGCTACCCAATGCCGAGAAAATATTCACACTATAGAAACATTGCGAGTAAGTCCTCCGTAGTTACACATATTCAGAGTTGCTTGTACGTTTTACTTTTGAGCCACTTTATTCAGTCCACGCCTTTCCACAGCTTACGAAGCTAGGGCGGAAAGGAGCTAAAACTCCGCAGCTAAATTGCTTTATATGGACTAAGTTGTTTCGTTAACTGTTAGCTACAGTTGAGGCTTTTTATGTTCTATGACGGAACACAAAAAGACTCGGATTTCCTATTGTTTTCTTTCGATCTGTTCTCCCGCATTATGGCTTAACTGGTCTATTGTGTAGAAAGCATCTGAAGAGAACGTTAACGGTTTATCGAGCTAGGCTACTGTTCACGGGCAACTCTTTAGCTATCCTAAAACGAGTTTGAGAAAATTTGACGGTTCACAAGTGCTGAAACGGTTGTAAACTAGTATGAGGAATCGGAATAATGAATTATATTTTGAAGCTAGAGTTTTGGATTAGAGTTAATATGTTCATCGTAGACTGAGATAAGCTATGATGCCTAAATGCTATCGATCCGCACAATTGAATAAATCACACTCATAAATCCACGTATCTGTGTTTAATCTGGTTCGCTCATTCACCAATAGTAGCCTCATCGCTTGATCGCAAAAAACAGAATAGTCTAACTCTTCCGAATATTTATTTCAGATACCTTGTAATACTTCATTTTACTATCGTCAAACCGGTAATCTTCTTATCCTGAGGAAGTGCATTTTACCTTGTTAAATCAGATGTTAGCTTGTCTGTGTAATACTTGTGACTGCTAGTAACAACAAATATGGATTAGTTTTCTCAAAGCATATCGAATTATTTATGGACATAAGTGGGTTTATATGTTTATGGTTTGTGGATGTAGTTAAGTTTTACTGGAATAAGCTTTCGTTTATTTGTTAAGGGACCTCACATAAGTTTACGATACCGAACAAAATTGACAAGTTAACAAATAACACCTTGAATTTCCATCGACTGAATTAGATGGTGTGTCTTACTTTCTCCCAACCACCGCCTACTTGTAGACATGATGTAGACTAAAGCAGTAATGGCTTGGAAGAGGCTACGTAATGTCATTCTACGAAATCACCAAATATTGGACTGGACTGTGTTGACAAGTGAAGACTATCTGATTGGATTCCACAAAATAACTGTGATCAGTAGTCGGGGGCAGTCAGTCAGTCAGTCAGATGCAACGTAGAACTTGGTACGTAAGTACATCAGTTCATGTTGCCATACCACATCAGCACAGAGATATAATTGTCAATTCAAATCCAATAGTAGAAGAGGTAGTAAGGGAATTAGAAGTAATCGGAGAGGTTAGGGTTAGAAGATATTATTCAAGAAGTATGATTCAGTGAGAAAAGTTTAGAAAGTCAAAACTAGAGGTGTTGAAGAATCCAGAAGATTAGGATTTGAGAGAACACAAAGAATAAGTGCACCGGCGCCATTGCGAACGATTTTGAGCCATGTCATTCAAGGTCTCTAACCATTGATTATTATCATCTCGCGGACCCCAACCAGGTAGTCGACAATTACCGACATGACTTCATGGATTTTGTCATGTTTCGGTCTGGCCGCCCCTCACTTTCTTCCAATCTATTCCTACAGCACAAAATATGGTTCGTCCAGGCAGTCGGTAGTTGTACATACGCAACAAATAGCCCAACCACCTCAACTGATGAAGTTTCACCACTTCATCGATTGATCTGCCATCCTTACCTAGTACTCGTTTCCTAACGACAGCATTGCTCACTCGGGTGTCCCACGGTATACGAGCAATGCTTCGAAGACACCTATGATCGAAAACTAGTAACTTACGAATATCTTCTACTCTCACTGGCCATGTTTCACAGCCATATAGGAGAACAGAGCGAACTGCTGCACAGTACACTCGTCGTTTGATTAGAGAACGGATATCACGCCTACGCCATAAGTGACGCAGGTTGGCAAAAGCCAATCGAGCCTTCTGTATCCGTGCCGAGATTTCGTCAGTCACCAGGCCATCGGCACTGATGAGACTCCCAAGATAAGTGAAGCGGTCTACACGCTCGACCACTTCACTCCCTATCACTAGTTCAGGTGCCGATGAAACCCAATCTTGAAGCAACATTTTGCATTTCGAGGGGGAAAACCGCATCCCGAACATGCTTGCATTGTTGCTTAGGGTAGTCAGAAGACTGTGCATTTTGTCAGCGTCTTCACCAAGTAGAACTGTGTCATCGGCATATTCTAAATCAGTAAGCGAGCCACCTGGTAGAAGGTCTACTCCAGAAAATTCAGACGAGGATAAGGTTACTTCTAGGAGCATGTCTATGATAAAATTAAACAAGAATGCAGAGAGTGGACATCCCTGACGGACACCACTTGAAGTAGCTAACTCCGATGACAGTTCGCCATAAGCTCTCACTCGACTAGTGGTGTTCGAGTAGAGAGCTTGTATAAAGTTAATGTACTTCTTTGGTACACCTTTCAATGACAGACACTGCCACAGAACCTCACGATCCACTGAGTCGAATGCCGCCTTAAGGTCCAGGAAAACAACTATTGTCGGACGCCTAAATGTGTGCCTATGTTCCAGGACCTGTCGTCGTGTGAAAATATGGTCCATACAACCACGTGCAGGTCGAAAACCAGACTGGTTTTCTCGAGTCTGCTCTTCACGAGCTTTCGTTAAGCGTCGAAGTATTATTGATGCCAATATTTTAGATACTATATCAGTTAGACTTATTCCCCTGTGATTGTCACAACAAGACTTTTGTCCTTTCTTATAGATTGGGACAATCAGTGATTGAGACCAGTCGGATGGGATTGCGTTCCCAGATTCTACCTAAGATCTCAGTCAACCTAGTTGCTAAAACTGGACCACCATCCTTAAATATCTCAGGGGTCAGTCTATCACGACCCGCAGCTCGCCCTCGCTTCAGATTTCCTAACGCTTTTTCAACTTCATTAAGACTAGGGGGACTTACGTCGATTTGCCATTCAGGATGACTGGAGATCGTGGGTAACCGAAGAGTGGCTCGAGGCCAGTTGAACTGATCCCTAAAGTGTTCTGCCCATCGATCCAGTCTCCTGGATTGAGAATGGATAATAAGACCATCCTTTTCCGAGATAGTCTCACTCACATTCGGGTTCTTAATACCAGTTTCTTTAATAAGGCGGAAAAGTTGTCTAGTGTTACCGATCGCCGCTGCCTTTTCCATCGCTTTTGCTTTCGCCACCCACCACTGTTCGCGGTCGTTACGCAGACTTTTTATAAGTCTGCGCCTAAGTTGACTACGCTCTTCATCATGCTCAGAGTCAGGTGGGATGAGTTTTCGAGCATCCATCAGTTCGGTAGATGAGACTGATATCCACGGCTTCATCCTAGCCTTATGGTTTACCTTACTAGCAGATATCGCTGCTGTTTCCACAGTCTTTTTGATATCATTCCATCCTGCTTCCGGATGGGAATCGCTTGCATGGTTGCTTAACTCTCTTTCTAGTTGCTCCTGAAATATTTGCCCTACGACTCAATGCTATGCCTACGCCAGCAAGACCCCTGGAAGCAGCATCAGGGCTACCGGATACACGAAGAGTAAATCGAGCTGCTTCTTTTTGACAAGGTGAAATCAGATTAATAATTTTATTAGAATCCTGTATGCGCGTTTCCGAGACGCAGCATACATCGATGACACGAGTTTCTAAAGTCCTAGCTAAGGAAGCCTGTTGCCCTATTTGACACAATGTCCGTACATTAAATGCTCCAACATGTAGTCTAGAGCGAGGTTTAAGGAGACCAGGAACGACGTTTCGCGAACTCGTATCGTCTGCATTAGCTGTGCACTGTGATGAATGAATGTGAGAAGAGTTAGTCGTGGAGATAAGAGAGGTACTAGGGGGTGTAGGAAGGATTTGATTTTGACCAATTCGGTCTCGCGTGCTGTTACGGGTATGAGGGCGGTTGTCACTTCCCGGCTGCCCACACCGTGGAAGGTTGTTTCTTGAGGAACCTGAAAAGGAAGATGGATTAGTGTTGGTGCGTGACCGCAGAACCCAAGGGACAACTGCTTGAGGCCGGTCACGCACGGCCTTTTTATGAGAGGTATTTAGAGGATTAGCTCCGTACTTAAAGGCCCTTAGAGGGCACCCTTACCCAAGGAGACGGAAATCCGTGAGGTAGGGGAGGTGTGACATTTTTAGGGCCGACCTTTTCTAACCCTTCCTTCCTTGTGAGAAGGCAGCATCGCTGCAGATGCTGGTTGTCCGAGGGAAACACCTTACTGCTGCCTCACCCCTCTGCAGTCAGCAGTACGACTTCGCCCTCAGACCTTGGGTAGCTGCTTTTAGTCTCATCGTTCTCCAATCGACCTGCGTGGCATGGTAGGACCTGCAGGAACATATGTTCCAGCCAGTATAGCTCGGTTGGGTCATCACGATAGGCAAGACCGACCACCACGTCAAGGTAGCAGCTACGGTCGGGTAGTCGGGGGCATTGATCGATGTGATTCAGAATCGATCTTAGTAATGCAGATGCATCCACTTTCAATCTACACCTAGATCTTGAGTTTTACCATTCCTCCATATACACTTTCACCCCTTCCAGAGCATGTTCCTAGTTCTTAGTTGTTTTTGCTATTATTGATAATGCTAGTATTAGGATTAGCTTGCTGTTAAATTCATCTCATTTTTCTGATATAACTTTATAACCGGAGAACATTTATTTTGGGCTCTGTATCGATCACGGCAGATATAAGTTGAGCATTACAAATACATACACTATCTTAATTAACTTATGAGTAAAGCAAAAAATAAAATAATACCGTATAAATATAGATATCTTTTGCTCTGTTTCTCCTTAGCCACCGAGTTGCATCATCTCTAGGACCCTAACCAGGGAGTCTTGAAGGACCAACAAAAACCAGTCCTGAATAGCCTTCTGTCATACCTTGACATCATGTTATACACTCACCACCTATCCGCTTCTTCCAACCAGTCTCAACGTTGTGAAATAATGCACGATGTGG